CAATCGCCGCGTTGATCATGGAGGATTAAAATGCGGAGCGTTGCAGCCCTTTTTGTTGCGGATAATTACGCATAATCCCAATGATTCCGCGTGGCTCATTTGCATCTCGTTGAACGCTTGGGGAATTGGGGGGTGTGTGGGAAGGATCCGGATAAGGAGAAAGGAGGAAGGAAGGCCGATCGAGGGGGATTTTTAGGGCGTGTGAATCCGTGATGCCTCCGAAAGGTGTGAGCAAAGCGGTGAATAAGAAGTGTCGCGAGTGCAAGAAACAGGTGAGAGAGAGAGACACTTCTTTTGGGTGCCGGGGATCTATTTCGCCCTATTTTCCTCTATTTCCGCCCCTTATTCTCTTCTGCTGTGCTTCTCCTCATTCTTCTGAGCCAGTTTGGGAAAGGGAAAAGGCAGGAGGAAAGTCTCGGAGGGTAAAAAAGGGGGAAGGTTTCTCAGAGAGGAGATTTTTTTTTTCTTTCTTTTTGAAGCCATTGTCTTCTGAGACGAAGTTACGGAAGAGGGAGATAGAGAGGACGAGAAGAAAGGTTATTTTTCTCCCCCTCTTTCGCCTGACGCCTCATACCAGCTTCACCTCCTTGGCATAGATCTCATTTGTGAGGTATGGGCGAGTGAGAAAGAGGCTGCGGGTTTTTTGAAGGAGTGACGAGTGGGAGGGAGGGAAATTTGGAGCCATTTTTGTGTTCCCTTTTTCCATTTTGTTTGGGCTCTGGGGGAGGAAAGAGGAGGTAGAAACAGAGAAATAATGCTATAATTTGATGTCGAGGTGTATCTAATTGAGACAGAGATGATGCTCTAAGTGTTTATCTTCTTTTTTCCCCCCCTTTATCTCTTTTGGATGATGCTGAGTGGGAGAGAGGAGGAAAGATGCTGGGAGTTGGGAGATCTTATCTGGGAGAAGTGATGCTGGTTTTTTGATGCTGTGGGTTTGGCTTTGAGGTTTGAGAGAGTGAGGAGGACTAGGTTTGTGGTGGAATAAGAGGCTTGTGCTTTGTGCATTTTTGAGGGGGAATTGAAATCCTAGCCTAGGATGAGTAGGATGAAAGGAAGATTAATCTCTTGTTTTCTAAGAATGTTTCCTTTGTGTCATTGTATGCGTGTCTGTGAAATGGATTGGATTGTGTACTTTGGCCGAGAATTTGCGTATTGTGGATCGTTTTCGTGTTGAAATGAAGAACTGAAGAGAGGAATCTTCTCTGGCAGATATTTCTTTGACGATGATTCGTAAATTTGTTTGATTGTTCAAGATTTGATTGTAATGGACTACCACGAAGAGAATTTTCAGTTATTAAACTTATATACATCATTTTCACGTAGAAGTTAGTTGAGAATTTTGCTGTTAGTGATTGAATCTATAATTTGGCAATTGTCGGAGTGCTTTATTGTTGCTGTTAAATGTATTGCTATTTTGGCTTGTCTTTTGTGTTATTTTGTAATGGGACTTGTTTCCAAAATTTATTTTTGTGTAGAAAATCAAATTATTTTTGTTTTGCATTTTTAGATATAAATAATATTTGATGACGATTTTTACAAATGTATGAGGGGAAAAAAATGTCAAGTAAAACCTAAGAGTAATTTTTAGGTTGTTTAGAATGAGTTAGGTTAGGCTATGATTTATTAAGGTTGAGATAAGTTCAGTATGGCTGACATAGCTTTGATGTGGTCAAGATTGAAGAGTTATTTAAAAAGTGGTAATGTTGTCATAGAAATGAGGATAAATGTAAGGAGGACCCTGTAGCAGCTTTCTAAATAGGAGTTCTTAAGCTGTGGGAGATGATATTGGATATGTTTTAGTCAGATCAATTTCTATTTTGCCATGGCGTGTGGATTTATAATCTGTTCTATGATAGTAGGACATTGTCAGAGGATAGCAGCATTTGCAGTGCTATGTGCTCCATCAAATGCCAATAAAGTTTCAATATATATATATATATATATATATATATATATATATATATATATATATATATATATATATATATATATATATATATATAATATATAATATAGTGCCAGGAAGATATAGCTTTCAATCATGGAGTAAAGTATCTTTTACAATACTGGTTTGTATGAATTAAACTTGCATAGATAATTTTTTTTTTAACCAATAGTATATACCGATGATCTTCAACTTGCACTTGGGTTACTTCCAAATACATGTACCGTGAGTTGAAAATATCTGAAGTTGAAAGCGTATTTGATGTAGACAATATATTAAAGGAATATCAAGTTTATTTGAAATATGGTAAATTCTAGAAGAAACCTAAATTAGCTTTCAATATTTGTGGTTACATTGGTCATGTATGTCCAAATCCACTTGGGACTTATGACCCGAGATGGAGACCTACTGTCTGATGTTCAGCATAGTCCTAGGGCAGTGTTAAGGAATTACTGTGGACTCCAGCGATAGCCATTGAACTAAAATATTCTGGCAAAAGTGAGTTTTGAATAGTTTTTAATATGACTGTATTGCCATGCAGGCCTCCAAGCA